TAAATTACTGTACATTACTACTATTAATGAAAATAATAAAGACTAAAGGAATATAATCTATGAAAGGATAAGGAGATTGCTTACCCAGTAACCTCACAAATCTGAGTCTCAAAACATACACCCAACAAATGTGCTATATTCATAGGAGAAACCCTAAACATATCCCTGTGCCTTCTTTATTTACTTTGGATACAGTTCTTGTAATCTTGATTGTGTATTTTTAAACCACACAACCAAAACAGATGATCAATGTGGCTGGCTTACAGATTTATTTGTGATTTATTGACTCAAGTGATTGAAAGATAGGAAACCCAATTTTTCAAATGCTCATATTTTACTTTTCAAATGCCTGTGATTTAGAGGGTAACAGGGATCAAGCAGTTGTTTCTTTAGGTAGCGTCTTTATACAGAATTGGAGCTGTCCAGGGAGCTGAGTATTTCAAGGTGAAGTACATGTGTGAGAGAGAAAAAGATGACTAAAAATTGGTCAAGTTTAAGGGAATAAGTATTCCCTCCTTTCATTTTGCTTTGATGGACCTTTGCTTTTAACAGATTTTTCCTTACCTTAAAGCAATGCAGAGTGGATAGGGAGTATATGGAAAATACATTGTAGAGAAAACTTCATTTTTAAATCTTCTTCCTAGTGCATGGTTAAAGGAGAAAGCTACTAACAGACAAAATTTGTGTGCATCCTGGAAAGTCTTACTTATTGCTTACCATATTTGGAGTGGTGTCTTCATCTTGTTTTTAAATTTTAGAAAGACGAACCCAGCTGCAGAAAACTAGGCACTTCAGTTGTAATCATTAAATGACTGCTTCCCTTCCAATTTCCTTCTTGGACTAGTGCAGAAAAAGATTCTTAAATATCTTTTCCTTGGAGCCACCAAGTACTCCATTTTAAGTTGTTAAAAGTCTTTTTGAAACCTTGACTTCCTGTTAGTCTAATTTTTCTGTGAATGGAAGAACCTTAATGTGGATCAGCTCAGCTGATAAATTGTGATTTTTCACACACAACTGCTATACTCTTACCATGAAAGAAAAAATTTTTTTTACAACTTGAAAGGAATTTGGCTGAAAGTCATGATCTAATAACACCGTAGATAGAACTTAGTAGCTTTTAGTGTGGTTTATCTCATTTGATCCTTACATCCTCCCTTCCCTTTCCTCCCCAAAGTGAATTTGTAACATGAAAGTTTTCCTCTACTCAAGACTCACTCTAGAATAGTTATATTGAGCCAGCCACATAATGGCATGTGTCTGTGATGGTCCTAGATTTCCGTGGTTTCCTGCTGTATCATCTAGAGTCTGGTGGGGTAGTACACTGAAGCACTTTACTTGGTGAATTATGCCCTCAGCTGGTTTAGGATGTAGGATTCCATGTGCAATGTCCACCACTAGTCTTTGGTTCTTTCCTCTATAATCTATTATACCTCCACCCCCATCCTAGCCCCTACCCCACAGCCCCGGCTTTCTGATTAGGACAGAAGAGAAAAACAAAGTATTTTCTTCTCCTTGGGAAGAACTCTTTCCTTTCCGTGTCTCCCTTGCATTTCCTTTGTTGGAGGCATTGGAAAGGATGGGGGATGCGTACTTCTACACTTAACAACAGTATTCGGTGGAGACCTATAGGCCCACAGTGGATCTTGCAGACAGTAGTGAAGTAGTGCTCTTTATTGACAAAGTTGTTTATTCTTTTTCTTTTATGTTCCTTAGAATGTTTCTAAACTTTGGGTTATAATCATTAAAAAATGGAAGATGAAATTTTGTGTTACTTAAATTATAAAAGTAATCAAGGAATGGCCCCTAATGATTTCAGTGTATTTTACTAAAGATTTTCCTCTTATATAAATAAAAAATTGACAAAATTGCTTAGAATGAAATGAATTGCTTTTTGTCTAACATGAGGTAAGAATGAAAATTTTATTTCTATCTTGGGAATGTTTTATGTATATTACATCTCTGAAAAGAAACAGTATTAATATTCGTATTCTTTCTTATTTTTGTCACTCGTGTTGCCTTTAATTTTTTACTATTTGAGGTAACTGTCAAAGATGTGGATACTGACAATCTCCCTTAGATGGAGTATGACAAATTCATTAGGTAGTTAAAAAGTACATAAAGCATATGAATGATTTTTGTATGCATGTTTTAATAAAATCAGTAATGTGTTTGACTTTTCCTATCTGTCAACTTTTCTATATGATATTAGCATATAATTTCTAGACGTTTTAAAGTGTGTTATTACTTAGTGGAAGAGCAGATCTTTTTCAAAAATGTATTATATTCCCACTTTGCCATAAAACTCAAAAATAATTAAAGGATAAGTAATTTCTAGCAGTAACAAAATCATTATTTTATATAGGTCTGCCCTCTTGTGTCTAGACTAGGAAATCCTGATTTTATTTTATTTGGGAAAAGTCACAAAAAACCCTACAAAATCAAAACTATAATTTTTTACCGTCAGTGTCAATGAGTATATTATAGAGAAATTTCATGGAGTTCAAGACATTCTTCTTAACGTAGATAAAATTCTGATTATTTGCATTAAACAAATATACACCTTTAACCAATTAAAATATAAAAGGCAAACATTTAAAAATTGTTTTGTAGTACTCTGTAAATTAAGATTAGAATTCCTTCCATAGTAGAAAGTATTAAACATTTACTATTAAAAAATTTTAAAATATATTGTTTTTATTTATCTTATTCCTTACATATGATAAACAGAATAAATAAGTTTCATTTAAAGAATAGGTTTTTGTTCTGTATAATAATATGAGTTACAGTATTCTGTAATCCTCACAGTATAAGGTTTCAATTTCTATCAAGGACCCAGTAAAGGAAAAAAAATTCTGTATTTCTGTTTTTCTGTGGAAAAGCCCAAAACATCATAGTTAATAGTTTGAAGTGTTATAATGAACAGTGTATGGAAGGACTAGGACTTACTCATTCAGAATCAGCACTTGTGTTTGAGATTTATAGAACTAGAATCCTTTTTTGCCTTGGTTAATTTACTGAGACCAGTGGGGTGAGTGCATCATTTGTTTTGTTATAAACTTTCTGGTTATTAGGGATCTCCAACTTGTAGGTGAAGCTTCACTTAAGAAATTCCTGGGCTTCTGTTCTTTAGCTGTCTATGAACCAAAGTCGTCCTCCTCCCCATTTCTAGTACCTCTCAGGGATTTGAAAAATTTCAAAGCAGTGTCTTCTTCACTTAGTAAATGCTTGTGTTAGAAACTGAGTTCAATGTAGACCATTTCTTATTCTTTTAGTAACCATATATTAGAAGCTATGGTTAATGACACATTCTCTACCAGGGGTGTCCAACCTTTTGTCTTCTCTGTACCACATTAGAAAATGACGAGTTGTCTTGGGACATACATTAAATACACTAACACAAGCAAAAGCTACTGAACAATAAGCAAAAGGTCTGTGTGTAAATTTTGTGATATCACAGATAAGCAAAAAAGTCCTCACGTGGCTTGTGGACCACAAGTCGGATACCCCAACCTCCTTTAATAATTGCGATATTAGTTACATGTCTCAAACTGAGATTTGAATTGTTAGATTATGCAGTATAGGTGTAAACTATTTTAGATTTTTAATTTAAACTTGAGTTGACTTAAATTACCAAAGTGTGATGAATATATTTTCTAGCGCTCATTTTTACTTCCATTGTCTTACAAATTGTGGAAGATGTTTTAAAATGATGAGAGGGGAAATTGAAAACGTATTCATCAAAAAAGTAATTATAGATTACCATTGCTAAATGTATAACGCTGGAAGAAAAATGGCTGTATCTTATTACAGGTGACCCTTGAACAACGGGTGTGAATTGTTAGGGTCCACTTGTATGTGGATTTCTTTCTTCCTCTGCCATCCCTGAGATAGCAAGACCACCCCCTCAGCTTACCCATTGTGAAGGTGATGAGAATGCAGACCTTTATGATGATCCACTTCCACTTCATGAATAATAAATATATGTCCTTTTCCTTATGATCTTCTTAGTAACATTTTCCTTTCTCTAGTGTACTTTATTGTAGGAACACGGTAGCTAATACATAGAACATGCACAATTTCTATTAATTGACTGTGTATGTTATTGGTAAGGCTGCTGGTCAACAGGTTATTAGTCGTTAATTTTTTGGGGAATCAAAATTGTCAATATCCCCAAACCCCATGTTGTTCAAGTGTCAGCTATATAAATAATAAGACAAGTTCATTTAAAAACCTAAGAGATAATATTTGCCGAAAGAATTCACATTTTAATTATTTTTAACACTTAAAATAGCATATTTTTTCCATCTTTGGAAATTTTTTATTCTTTTCTTTGTGTGCATTGAATATAAGGTTGGAATAGAAGACAACCTATAAAATTATACTGAAGTTTTTTTTAAGGTTTCATGATTCTAAAAATACAGTATGGCAAGTTAGGTACACTACCTCAGTAATCCAGGGCAGTACCTTAAATGAAAACTACATCTATTCTTTTAGTATATTAGTAATTATGGCTGAGCATGCTGTCAGGTAACACATTAACCACCAGTTCTCATCTGTTAATCACAATGCCCTAGAGAGAACGGATTTATGGTTTACTTACATGTTTTAGAGTTTTATAAGAATGTCTTTGAAAACATTGCCTAAGAGAAATTTTATTTCTGCAAGAATATGGCCTTACTTTTTCCTACCTGATTCTCCAAAACTTTTAAAATGTTTTTATGATATAGCAACAGAACACAGTTTCTATTTTTGAGTGTAGGTTCTGATACAGTTACCACAGTGGGTTTTGTATAGGAATACTAAAGACAACATATGAGGAGTCGGTGTGCTGTTTTGAATAGTGACACTTCATTTGAATTATTATTTTGATTCTTGTTGAAGTCTTGAAAAATACTAAATATCGAAGAAGCTTTTACAGAGTAATTATATTTACCCCAAAGAGTGAAGCTAATGCTTTATATATGAAGTGAACTTGCTACCAGTGTAGTTTTGAAACTGAATAAATTCCTACTTCATCTTCAGAAAAGGTTTGGGGTAGAAATGTATAAAATCATGTTGAGGAAATAAATCAACAGTTATATTTTACATACTTCTCATCATTTTAAAGTGAATTTTTTGAAAATAAAGCCCTTTTTATGTTTACAAGATCCAGCAGATGAATACGTTTGCTAACAATGTGCTTTACTCTTATCTCGACCTTTTCACAAAGAAACTCTTCTACTGTGGAAGTGTTCTGTTTGGCAGCGTTGTTTCCCCTCTTGGCAGGCCGAGCCGGTCACTGCAGACCTGGAGGCCGCGGCCGAGCCTCAGAGGAGCATCACGATGATGCAGATGAGCAGCAGGCAGATGAGGATGAGGCAGAAGTTGATGAACAAGTTCTGAAAGTTCTGACGGGCTTGTTGAGGCATTTCAATGTTTGAGGCTCTTCTTATAGCAGAGCGAGTGAGGTATTGTACTTTCTCCATGGCACCAAGAAGGCAGGAAGCCTGAAGTTTTATGTGTTCAAAAGAGAGAGAGGAAAAGCCGGCAGCCAGATGTGAGATAACTGCCTTCCTTTAGGTGGCCTGGAAGATAAAAATAGTAAATGGATTAGAATCATGTGTGGAACTTACTGTCTGAACAGGCATTCAGAGAAACGGTGCATTAATTCATCTTCCTCAGCACTGTGATGTTGGTAACATCCAGTGTCTCTGTAGTCTGTGTGTGCGCACACGTGTGTGTTTCTGTGTATCTCTCTCCTCTCTGCCCTTCTTACTGGGGCACTGTGACTGTCTTGTATTTGGGATGTAGTAACTTCAGTCTCTGTCTTCTCCCAAAATGACTAGAAGTATTGCAATTAAGTCATCATTTAAAGTTATTGATAGATTCTTAGAAATTGTGACCTTAAGGCACAAAACCATGTATAATGAAATCAGTTTTATCCTGAGTCTAGGCTAATTGATGTAAATGAGAATTAAGTCCCTGTGGCATAGTTTTGGCCATAAAAAGTCACCAAACTTCCAAATAAAGTCCCAAGATACTTATAAATATACAGAACCTTTACAAATTGACCACCCAAGTGACTGAAACTGGTCAACATATGGAAGTGGTCAACATGAGGAACTAGGCCTATTGTACTGATGAGGTGCAAATCCAGTCTCTGAAAATTAGGTCAACTGAAGGAGGTGGTCAGTCTAGGGAGGTAGTTAACTATGGAGGTTCCACTGTATATTTTTTGAGACAGGATCTTGCTGTACAGTGGTGGTGCAGTCGTAGTGCACTGCAGCCTCAGACTCCCAGATCAGGCAGTTCTTCTGCCTCAGCTTCCTCAGTAGCTAGGACTGTAGACAGGTACTACCACACCCAGCTAGTTTTTCACAATTTCTTTTGGATACTAGGTCTTTCTGTGTTGCCCGGACTGATCTCAATCTCCCAGCCTCAAGTAATAATCCCTCCTTGGAATCCCAAAGTGCTAGGATTACAAGCCACTGTGCCTGGTCAAATACTTTTAATATTAAACATTAAAATAAATGGGCGTTATATACACCTTTAAGAAAAATTAATAAAAACAAGATAATTACCCAAGTTTTGGCGACTCAGTGAGTGAATGGCAGTCATATGATGGTCAATTAAATCAAGGCATAAATGTTTGCAAAGTGAAAATTGTCAAGAGTGCCTCCTATCACCATGTAGGTCGAAAGCAAACAAGAAAAACATGCCGTCTCATTTATTGTTTTGTATTTATATGACTACTGTAGACTTTACTAATTTTTTGACAATAATTTTTATTCATTCACTTATTAATTTCTCAACCTACTTACTCTGGTTCAGGGTCTCAGGGAGCTGGAGCCTTTCCTAGGAGCTCAGATGCCAGTCAGGAACCACCCCTGGACACCCCTTCTGTCCTAATTCAGGGCACACCTGTACACATCCACACTCACACTGGGACACTTTGGACACATCAGTTCACCTAACATGTACATCTTTGTGATGTGGGAGGAAACCGGAGTACCCAGAGAAAACCCATGCAGATTTGGGGAGAGCATGCTAACTCCACATGGACAGCTATAGTGCTATAATGAAATGATGCTGAAGGAAAGATGTTATTTAAGGACCTGCTGAATTTGGTTTTAGGGTCTACTTTCTTTTGGGCAAAGTTCTTTTTTAAAAATTCAGATTAATATGAGGTTAGAAATGATTAGGTTATACTGTTTGTATTTGTTAGGTAAAGTCCCTGTTGTAGTTGTGCCCCTCACCCAGGCGGTGCGCCATGTACCCTTATGTTGTACCTGTTAGGTGGGAGCACATCAAACCCCTGTCTCCCCCCAACTTGGATTTAATTGAGTTTTTCTCTTGCATAGGTGGATATTTACTCCTCTCCTGGCTTTATCGTAGTATTGAGTACATTGGATACTTGCTTTTCCTTTCTTGTGATACTTTAGAATGTTCTCCAACTCCATCCAGGTTAATAAAAAAGATGTGAAGTCTCCATCTTTTTATGGCTGAGTAGTATTTCATGGTATGGGCAGAGTTCTTCCATATAGTTTCTTTAATTTTGTGCTGTCTAGATGTAATGGGTGTAAACACTTAATGTATTAATAGCGTCAGAGCCATCTCATAAAAGAAGAAATGGCTATAATAAATTATTTCCTGGATTATAATTTTAGTTCAAAATAAAAAAGGTAAATGAGAAGTGTTTTACCAGAAACATAAATTTAAATGGTTTGCTTTTCCTTATTATGACTTTATAGCTTTATAGAATATTCTTTTAAATAACTTTTAAACAAGGTTTGATATTAAGTGTTGAAGACTGCCATGCTTGGAAGGCATGGCAATTTCTTATCACACTCTCTACCACAGGCAGTATGCTATTTACAGACGACGTGCACTTTAAAGTAAAGGTTTTCATCTGCCCTTGTTCAGAGCTTTACAAACTACTACTGCCTGTGGAGGCTAAGCTTTGATAATTAATAAACAAAGTAAAATAAAAATATAACATCATTATGGAGAAGTTAGATATAGATTAAAAATAAAGTCTATGTTAACTGTCCGGAGATAATGGCTATTAACACTTGTGGATAATTTATTTTAAATCGGTACACTTCTGTATCAATTTTAAAATAAGAAAAATTAAAAACAGAATAAAACCTCACTATTTAGCTGCTCAGAGATAATGACTGTTAGCATTTGTTGGTAATTGTTAATCAAGATATTGCTACCTTATCCCAGCTGCCAGATTTCATCTTCTCTCTAGCATTTTATATACCTTAGAAGCCTATCTCAGCCTGTCAGCCCATTCCTGAGAGAGGCAAGTGCTGAAGAGAGCAGAGGAACGGGAAAGGGGAAGATACGGGTCAGGCATGACCAGGGAGAGCCGTGTTTTTCAACCTTTTTTTATCTCATGGCACACTTGAATCTGTAGTTAAACTTCCGTGGCACACTTAAATTATGTAGATTTTTTTTTAAAAAAGTAAAAAAAGAATATACTTACTGTGCTTTGAATTTTTTTTTGAAAATAATTTAATTAATGATCTTTAAAGATTTTCGTGGTGCACCTAAGATCTTCTCACCATGCACAGAGGGTGAAAATCACTGAGTTAGACCTTTGTGCTTACTTTGACAAAGATACCATGTGGTCATGGTGTTTAGATTCTGTTGTTTTTACTTGTTCAATTTAGCTCTATTGTATTTTGAATTATATAATAGACTGGGCTGTAATTTGACTTGAGACTTTGTTTTCTTGCATAATAATTGGCCTGCAGCAAGGAGTTCACACAGCCAACTTATATCAAACCTCATTTTCTTAAAGAATTGGTAGCAACTTACATTTATGTAGTTATACTCTTTATTATCCAAACAGGTGCTAATGGTTACTTATCTAACACTCCTTACTTAGCAGATGACACTTAAACTGGATATGTGTGTGTGTGTTTATTTATTAACAGACAGGGTCTCACTCTATTGCTCCAGATGGAGTGCAGTAGCATGATCATAGCTCACTGTAACCTCAAACTTCTGGGCTCCAGTGATCCTCCTGCCTCTGCTTCTACCTCCTAAAGTGCTGAGATTACAGGCATGAGCCACAGTGCTAGGCTGGTGTATATGTAATTACTTTTATTTTAATTCTTTAGATATAATAATACAGAAATAGGATTTTTCTCTTGTTCTAGTTGGCTTCATATGAAGATATTTAACCGTTAAGAAAGGAATAAACACTAATGTTGGTAATTTCTATTTGAATTTAGATGTTTGTAGAGGCTTTAGGATTAGATGATCTTAAAGGGTCTGAATTTTAAACATTACTTTGAGATAAAACTAGAAAAAGAGAGCTGGCCAGGAGTTCATCGCTAAGCATATGTAGGAGTCATCTTCTGCCCTGATGCTGACGAACGGTGCTTCAGTCACACGGGACATGTCACCTTTCCATAAATACTCCATTCCCTTTTATGATTTTGTTCTTTGCACATGTTGTTCTCTCTGCCTGGAATGCCCTCCTCCACCCGCCTCCACCTTTTGACTCTCTGCCAGGCAAACTTCAGTTGATCCTTAAGGCTCAGTTTAAATATCCCTGCCAATAAAATCTTTCATTAGTTAATTAGGAAGATAGAATTGGTTATCACCTCTCCTGGATTTCAGTAGGGCTTTGATGTTACTTAATATCAGGATATCTATCAGATGGAGGTATAATTTCAATTTACACGTCTGTCTCCCCAGTTAGGGGGGGAAACCATGCGTTCATTTTGTATCCTAGTACTTACAGCGTAATTGGTACCATTTGAATAGACCAACGGAGTTGAATAAGGGAGGTTTATGACTAAACATTTTAGAAATTGTTAATGATCAAAGATAGTACTGTGATGAATAGATTAACTAGTTAGAATAACAGAATTTGGTAGGATTCACCTAAATTCCTGGTCTCCTGATTAATCTGAACTAGGCTTTGTATAAATGCATATTTGGTATTCACGAAATACAAAGAGACATGCCCTAAAGAGATGAGCTCTCTACTATTGGAAGTATAATTAATACACTTTAAAGATGATCTCATAATAAATACTGCAACAGCTGTTAACGAAAAAGGAGTTTGTTCCTGTAAACAAATCGAGTGTAAACATGACGACCAAAGATAGTGTCTGGTTTCTTGTTAAATGTAGACATATAATCCTAAAGTGATTTGTTGTTGCTTTATGGCCTTATGCTAAAATAGAAAACAGATCTGGTTTACATGCGGAAATGTTAGTGGTATGCATTTAATACATCAAGCTCAGTTTATTTTACTGTGGTATAATCTGCAATGTGTTGAGTCCTAATTTTGAACTTCCAAGCTCTCTATCATAATAATTAAGCCCCATTTCATCTGTAGAAGATGGGGCTTACTGTCATATGCTGAGAACTGAAAAGCTTTGTATGGGAGTGACAGTTATCTGGAGCTGTCTGTGAGCCACCTTTACTCTGTTACAATGCTGCCGTGGTTGTCAGTTGTTTACCATCCTTTTCTCTGCACTGACAACCACTCTGTGAATTTACAAGTCTTTTTTTCTTTAAATTTCTTATAGTAAGGCTGTTGAATGGAGTAAATTTAATG